CAGGGAGGGGCCCAGTGCTCCTCGGTGGTTTTTGGATACAGACACGGATCCCCGCCCGGCGGCCCCCATGGCCCACGGGCAGCCATCCCTGGGTCCCGGGATGGGGGACAGGGAGAAGCAGGAGGGGACCAGGCAGGGTGGGGGGCAGGCCCTGTGGGGCTCCCCACACCCCTGCAGGCCTGGGGCCCGGGGCGGGTCTGGGTCCGCCTGCCCACCTCCCGTCCTCTCTGCCTTGCAGAGGAGCCCACGTTCCGCTGCGACGCATGTGACGAGCTCTTCCAGTCCAAGCTGGACCTGCGGCGCCACAAGAAGTACGCGTGCGGCTCGCTGGGAGCCGCACTCTACGAGGGCCTGGCCGAGGAGCTCAAGCCGGAGGGCCTGGGCAGCGGGGGCGGCGATGGGCAGGCCCACGAGTGCAAGGACTGCGAGCGGATGTTCCCCAACAAGTACAGGTGCCCCCATGTCCCCCACCCCCACCCCGGGAGCCCGTGGGGACAGCAGGGTCACTTAACCCTGAGAGCACAGGGGGAGCCCCGAGAAGGACAGAGGTCAGCCCTTGTGCCTCAGGCCTGCCCACGCTGACAGGCCGAAGGCTCCAAGGACAGCTGGAGAAAAGGTCCCCTCCCGTGCAGCACACCTGGGGGGCAGGTGCCCCACCCACTCACGTGCCGTCAAGGACAGAGCAGGCCGGTGGCCTGCAGTTGGAGGCCACAGGTGTTCCCGGCTGTGAATGTGAAGTCCAGGCCCCTGGTCAGAGGCCCCCACCCACGGAGGACCCACCCAGTCGAGCCACTGCTGGCCCCGCCCACCACTCTGTGGTCAACGCTGAGTTGTGGAGATGGGAAGCCAGGGTTCCAGGGGTTGAAACCAGAGCGACCCTCTGGACACAGGCAGGACTCCTTCTCAGACAGCGGACGGGAGCAGGAAGCAGCCGCCCAGAGGCCCCCTCATTCCCCACCCCAGGCACAGGCCTCTGCTTCCCTCCGGGGCCCCCAGAATTCCCCTGGAGAAGTCTCAGAGGTGGGCACAAGTGCCAGACCACCTGTGTGATGCCCGGACACGGCCTTCCCTGCCCCGAGGCCCGGCAGGAGTCGGGACCCGGGAGCTGGGACCCTGGGGACCCGTGGGGGGAGAACCAGCACCTGCGGTCCCCGTGCCCCAGGGAACCACGAGGACTTTCACAAAGTGCACCCTCCTCCTGGCTCCAGAACGTCCTCCAGGGCAGCCTTGCAAAGTCAGCGCAAAACCCCAGGAGGCACCAACTGGCCTCGGGACTGCGGGGAGCTGAGTGCCAGTCCCGTCCCGGCCTCCCCGGGCACGGGAAGCCCTCCACCCTGAACAGATGACTGAGAAAACAGGAGTTTGGGTAAATCCCAACCGAGACCCTGGGCGGCAAGCACTGCTTAAGAGGGCCCGTGATTTCTTTACATAAACACATAAATCACAATTAACAACAGGGAAAAAGATACAATCTGCTGTAGCTCAAGAACCAAGCGTTTCTGATCTAAATGGATGGCTGGGCCCCGTAATTAACGGGCCGTGATGTATTACTGCCGAGCTCATGAAGATTAACGGTCATTCCTGGGACAGGAGGAGAGGTGGGATGTCCCTCGAGAGGAGGGGACGGGGAGCTGCTCGTTCATCCAAGGGGGGGCAGCCCCTTCCCAGCGGCTATGCGCACTGCTCCGTGTCACGTCTCGTTTGGAGACCCCTGCGCTCATTCCCCGCTGACCTCCGTGGGCTGTCAGCCCGGCCTGGCTGGCCGGTACCCTCAGGCCACTGAGAGGGGTTTTCTGGGCCTCGCCCCCACTCTGGGGCTCATGGCAATGCTGAAAGTCTCTGAACCCCTTTTTTCTTAGACCCAAGGTTGGTATCAAGGTTAAACTTATCTTAAAGAGCAGCCAGGAAGTGTGAGCAGGGTCTCACTGCCTGTGGGTGCCCTGGGGTGGTCTTGGATAAGGGCCTGAGCTGGGTCCAAGCACTGGCTTCTTCCCCATCAGGTGTAGGGAGGCCGTCTCTGCCCGTCCCTCCCTCTGACCTGTCCGGGGAGGCAGTGGACAGATGGGCTGGCCAGACTCACCCTGCTCTCTGAGTGGGGAGCGGCGGGGGCCCCGAGGGGAATAGGCCATGTGAGTTGAGAGCTTCCCTCCCTGGCCGCGGGCGGGGAGCGGGCCCCACAGTGACCCCCGTCCACTGTGCGCAGCCTGGAGCAGCACATGGTCGTCCACACAGAGGAGCGAGAGTACAAGTGTGACCAGTGCCCCAAGGCCTTCAACTGGAAGTCCAACCTCATCCGCCACCAGATGTCCCACGACAGCGGCAAACGCTTCGAATGTGAAAACTGTGTGAAGGTAGCGTGGTGCGCACCTGCGCCCTGTGCTCACCTGCCGGCCTGCTCCTGTGGCAAAGCCCCGAGCCACCCGTGACCTTCAGTCTTCAGGGAGGACAAAGAGCGTGCGGGGGAAGGGGGGCTGGGAGGGGCCAGCCCGGGTCCTCTCGGGGCTGCTGTCACCCTGGAAGGACAGGCTGGTGGGGGCAAGCCTCCTCGGCCCCAGGCGGTCACAAGTTAAAGTACTTGAGCTTAAAAACGCTTTCTGAGTTCCTGCCTAGAGCATCCTTGGGGCCACAGTTCTCCCACGAAATACTGAGAAGAAACAGGGTCAAGGGAGGCCTGACAGGTCACCTGAGGCCATAGGGGGAGCTGGGGAGGGGTCCCCACGACAGCAGAGACCTGCCGGCCAGGCTCGGTGCAGGGGGCGGAGCGGCAAGTGAGACCCCTTCCAGGGGCCAGAGCCGGGCCCGCCGGGGAGCAGGCAGACGGGGTGTGACGGACGGTGTCTGTGCCCCAGGTGTTCACGGACCCCAGCAACCTGCAGCGGCACATCCGCTCCCAGCACGTGGGCGCCCGGGCCCACGCCTGCCCGGACTGCGGGAAGACGTTCGCCACGTCCTCGGGCCTGAAGCAGCACAAGCACATCCACAGCACCGTCAAACCTTTCATATGTGAGTCCCGCC